AGGACTGAGGGGCACTGGCAGAGCTGTGTGGGGAGCCCAGGACTGGGATAGCAGCGGGGCTGGGCTGCGGGGCAGGAATGACAGGTAGTGGCAGAGCAGGGAGCCAGGGACCAGGACTAGACTAGCAGGAGCCAGGCAGGGTGGGAGGTGCATCAGCTCTGTGCTGAGATGTATTAAACCTTGTTTCGTTTCCCACTTGGTCTCCCAGCTACACAGGGAAACGCCCTGTCTCCAACATGGTCATCGTTGACGTAAGATGCTGTCAGGATTCGTACCTATGAAGTCATCAGTGAGGATGGTAATGGCCCGTTCTGTGTATGGGTCGCAGCCCCCCAGGGGTATCTGCCCCACAACCCAGTGGAGTCCAGTTCCCCACAACCCCAACCTCACCAGGTGTGCATCTAGGGCCCCTTGACTCCAACCCCACTCTGGCCCCGGTCAGCTCCAAACCCCAACCCCTTGTTTTACCAGTGCAACCTGGCACCTCCCTAGTCCCTTGTCCAGCGTCAGACCCCCCCTTGTCTCCCGTCTCTCTGACCTCATATCTTCTTTCTGACCCTCCCCTGATTCCCCACTCTTTCCCCGTCCCATCCCATCCCCCTGAGCTCCCACTCAGTGACTCCCTGATAAACTGTTACACACAGGGGGAGCAGGCCCAGCTGGAGGCACCTCACAGTCTCCCCTGGAGGGGGCAGTGCTCCTGTAAGGGGAAATCAGGCTGGGCTTGCGGGGTGCTTGGGAGAGAGAATGATGAGACCCCACCTCCCTGCATCCCTCTGTTCTCCCCCAGCTCTAACACCCCCCATCTCTCCCCCCCCCCACTCCTGAGCCCACCCTGGGCCCTGCATCTCCTCAGGGAGACTCAGACGCTGGGAGGTGTCCCTTGAGGGGTCCTGAGGTGTGATGCCATCAGACTAATGAAGCCTGTGAGCAGCACAGGGGAGGCAGTGCTCAGATCCCAGCCCTGCCCACAGCCACAGCCCTCCCCTCAGGAAATGGGTCAGACAATGAGCTGAGGCTGCACTTGATTGTGGCCCTGAGGTCTCAAACCATGATACTTCACATCTCAGTCCACCAGCACATAGGCGGGGCATAAAACCCCCGTTCGAAGAGGCTAGCCCCCGCTCTGCCCCTTCCACCCAAGGCCCCACCCCTGCCCTGCTCCTTCTGCCTGAGGCCCCACCCCCATACTCTCACCCACTGGAGCCAGAGGAGCCCTGAGCCCCCCACCACAATCAGAGGAACTCCAGCTGGCCTGGCGAAGCAGCCCCAATCCCCAGCTCTGGAGGAGCTCAGAGCCCTGCTGCAGCCCAGCCCTGGGGCAACGGCTGGGCGCATTAGTGGAGGTTTGGGGATGCTTAGCCTCTCCCAGCCTGCATTATGCACTGCCCATGGGGCCACAGTACAGATTTTGCCTCTTCCTTTAAAGCAGCAGCCAGAGGCACCGACTTTCTGGTTTCCCCGAGAGTGCTTGACCCCTGCTGTGCCCCAGGCCCTGCCTACACTTGCCACCTTCCCCCAAGGACTGCCCCGCCCTGCCTCTTCCCACCCCGTTCCACCCCCTCCCCCGAGCCCACCCTGCCCTCGTTCTGCCTCTTCCTGCCCCTGCTTCTCTCCCTCCCCCCCCCAGAGCCAGCTGGTGTCATCCACAGATTTTAGAAGCATGCTCTCCACTCTATTATCCAAGTGATTAATGATCATGTTGAATAGTACCAGACCCAGGACTGACCACTGCAGGACCCCACTAGATACACCCTACCAGTTTAACAGCAAACCGTGGATGACTGCCCTTTTAGTACAGTCTTTCAACCACTTGTGCATCCATCTTATAATAATTTCATTTAGACCACATTTCCCTGATTTTCTTATGAGAATGTCATGTGGGACTGTGTCAGAAGCCTTATTAAAATCAAGATATATGATGACTACTGCTTTCCTCTCCCTCCCCGCCCCCACTATCCACTGGTCCCGTAACCCTCTCAGCAGGGCCGGCTCTAGGATTTTTGCCACCCAAAGCAAAAACAATTTTGGTCGCCCCTTCCCTTCCCCCCCGGTTCTTTAATTACCCCACCCCCGGCCCCGCCTCAACTCCGCCCCTTCCCCAAATCCCCAGCCCTGCCTCCTCCCCCCCCAGGCTCTCAAGCCTAGGAGGGAAGGAGGCGGAGAAGCGGCGCCCGCTCCGCGGCCACTCGGAGTCTCCCCCCCTTCCCAGGTTTGAGTGCCTGGGAGGGAGGGGGAGACCCCGAGCCGCCGCGGCGCGCAAAACAGCTGATTTCGCGCGCCGTGGCAGCAGCAGCGGAGGTGAGCTAGGGCGGCCGGGGCACATTTTTAGGGGCTGCATTCTGGCGCTGGCCATGCCACCCCTAAAAATGTGCCGCCCCAAGCACCAGCTTGTTTTGCTGGTGCCTAGAGCAGGCCCTGCCTCTCAGAGAAGAAACTGAGGTTGGTTTGGCATGATTTGTTCTTGACAAATCCATGCTGGCCTTATCTTGTAATCCTGTTACAAGTTGACTGTTTAATAATTTCTTCTGCTATCTTTCTGGGTATGAATGTTAGGCTGACTGGTCTATGAATTCCTGGGTCCTCTTTGTTCCCATTTTTAAAGATAGATACTCTGTTTGCCTGCCTCCAATCTCCTGGGAAATCACCCGTCCTCCAAGAGATCTCAAAGATAATTGCTAAGAGTTGTGAGATTGCTTCAGCATCCCATTCCTTAGGGCTCTGGGGTGGTTCGAAGGGGGCTCAGTTACATCCTGCTTCTCTCTCTTTACCGCTGGCAGCTGGAAGGACATAACCACATCCACCGCACAGAACTGAGCACCAACCACGTGCTGCTCTACATGGAGCAGGTGAGCGCTCACAGGGGGCCGGAATGGGCCAGGGAGAGTCACCCCCTGACATACCTTTGATAGAGGCACTGAGCGGGGAACTCTCGGGTGTTGGCCGGGGAAAACAAACCCATGTATTGCTGCACAGCTGCTGCTGCTCCCCAGCATTTCTGTGCAGCTCTTCCTGTTCCCCCGCCCAACATATAGAGCTGGGGCCTTCCTGTTCTCCCTCCAGCCTATGGGTACCAGGAAGAGCAGCTTGTACCTGGGGGATAGGGATCGGGGCGGCAGGGCTTCTCCCTCAGGGCCTGAATCCCTGCCAGGTCCTGCAGCCAAGGGGGACAGATGCTGGACCTGCAGAATGAGGGGTGGGGAGATGGGGAAGGAAAGGGAGAAGTGGCTCAGAGTTGCCTCCTGAGTCTCGTCTGTTTCCCCCACACACACCCCAGGTGAGCAACGTGACTCGGAGCTTCTCCTTCGCGGTGGAGCAGGACTTCCCCGTGCAGAGCCTGAAGCCGGCACTGGTGAAAGTCTACGATTACTACGAAACGGGTGCGTGTGGGGCAGTGCTGGGGGGGCGTTAGCCCCCATGGGCCTGTCACAGGGAAGGAAGAAGCCACAGTCAGAGCCACAGGGGACCCGCTGGGCTCGGGATTGTGTTTGGCCTCGTTCTCTCAATGATCCACCTCCCCATTCCCGTGCTGCTTCCTGAGGGTGGGAACAGGCCTGGGGCTGAGCTGGGAACCTCACGCGAGCACTGCCTGTTCAGCGACTGCCCACGCAGTTTCAAGGGCAAACCCCATTCCCTTCTCCTCCTGCTTCCGACCCGAATGGCCCTGCCGCCACCATCCCTGACACCGGTTTGCCCCATGCAGACAGCGTCCCCCTCTCATCTCTGGACACAACAGGTCCATCTCAGCAGCGTCACCCCTCTCCCAGATGAGAGTGTGGGGCACACCGGGATTATGGGCGAGGGATCATATTCCACTGGCCTCATTCTCGCACCACGAGCCCCAGACCCCTCCCGCACTGTAGAGGGAAGGTGCCAACCCAGGTAGGTCAGAGCCAAAAGGATCTGGGAGGCTCCTGGGTTCAGATCCTGCCCTGAGATCCCAGCTCTGGGTGTGACCTGGGGGAGGCACATTCGCTCCTCCACCTCCCCAGCTAGGACATCGGGTGACAAAACCGGAGCCCAACGGCAACCCCGGCGGTCGTGTGTCAGACGAGGTGCAAATGGCCATAGGGCACCTGGCACAGACCCGCTGGAGATGCCTGTTGCGCTGTAGCCTTGGGGTAACCTTTGCCTTCCTCCCCTGGAGCCCAGATGAGGTTCCCCCAGTGCCCCTGGAGACAGGGCTCCCTCCCCTCCTGCCTGAGATCTCTGGGGCGGTGCCAGCTCTCTGCCGCAGGGCCTGCTGGAAGTGCGAGGAGTCCTGCTTGGGTCTCACACAGCCCTGATCACATCTCCCTTCCCTTGTGTCTTCCAGATGAATTTGCCATCGCTGAGTACAGCGCCCCCTGCAGCAAAGGTAGCGTATGAAGAGCCATTTCCTCCCCTCGTCCTGCTCACAGCACCCCCGGATCTACTCCCCACTCCGAGAGCTCAGCTCCAGGCGTGCATCCCCGGTGCAGTCGGAGCTGGTGGCTTTTTTCCCCCTGCACAGGGGTTTGTTGCCTGCACTGATGGCGTCTTTGCTTATTCCGGGGGACAGATGCTCCTTTCATCCCTCACTTTACACATCTCCCTGCTGCAGCCTCTGCCTCGTGAGCCGTATTGAAACTGTGTCATTGCAGTGGTTTATGAGAGGCACTTCCGGGGCCGGGCCGAAGGCTCCAGCCCAATCAGAGCCAGCAAGTCCCTGCCATCTCCCTGGGTCACTTGTCTGTGTGACGTTTTCAGAGATGGGCTGTCCCGGCTCAGATCAAATAAGAACCTGAGGCCGCTCAGCCTGGCCTCTAAGCTCAGACTCCTTGCACCCCCTTTTCCCCAGCAGCTGGGTCTGAACTTCCTGCTTCTGGGTAGGATCAGAGGAGCCAAAATATCCGTGACAGGGAGGATCAGAGAGTGAATGAAAGAACCAAAGCACAGGAGAGCCAGACAGACAGAGGTGGGGAGGGTCTCCCAGCAGCAGGACTCAGCAGAAGCCTCCTTTTCCCAGCCCTTGTTCTGCAGGTCTGAGAGGCCCAGGGAAGGATCTCAGCATCCAGGGGCTTCTCTGGGCTCCATTCCCCCTGGTGCTGATCCACAGGCAGCTGCTCAGTCCCAGTGCAGGGAGCTCCCTTCCCTCCCCTGGGCACGGCTGGCTCTTGTGTAAATGGATTCACTCCAGTCTGCGCTGGGTCCCAGAGGAACAAAGGGGCGGGGAGAGAACGTGCTCCTCGGATCCGCACCTCGCTCCCGAAGTCAATGTCCGAGCTGAGCCTCAGCATGTCTATGGCACCGAGTATCTTGTGGCCCCACGTCCATCCCAGCTGGGCTGCCTCCCTGCCACATGGCTGCTCTGCAGTGTCAGACACAGCAGGGATGGTTCCAACCGGACCCTAGGCTGACACAGCCTGCGCTGGATGAGGCATGGCCCTGCCCTTGGTGGGGAGACGTCAGGGCCATAGAACCTCCTGTCCAGGGGCCTGGCAGTGCTGTGCTTCCTGCGGTGGAGCAGCCATGCCCAGCCCTGGATGCCTGTTTTTGGCTCTGTGCCCAAGCCTAGGGGAGGCGTGGCAATTCTCTTCTCTAAACCCCTCCTGTTCCCGCTCCTTTTCCCCTCACAGTGGGAGCCGAGCAGAGCAACGTGTGAGGGATGGAGTCGTGTTCCGAGCCTCCCGCGTCCCACCTGCTTAGCCCCTGCGCAGGCTGAGGTGGATGGATGGAGCGACAGAGAAAACAGCAGT